TTTTTCGGCCGGAACGAATGAATGGTGTTTTTGTGACCCTAGAACTCCTTTTGCAGCACTAAATCGGCGTTTTAAAAATTCAGCTGCTTTAATATGCTAAATTCTATAATTTAAGTAAACTTGCCTTGCCTAGTTAAATTAAAAATTAATAAACTTCACACATTATTTATCATACTTTAAATAGGATTAAATTAGGCGAATAAGTATGTTACTTTACGACCATTCCAAGCCCATGGACAGGACACATCAGAAACATGTCTAAATATATTCTTGTTACTTCCTTAAGTTTACTTATTTTTTCTACGAGTATTTATGAGAAGTATTAGCCAAATTTGGCTAATACTTCTCATAAATACTCGTAGAAAAAATAAGTAAACTTAAGGAAGTAACAAGAATATATTTAGACATGTTTCTGATGTGTCCTGTCCATGGGCTTGGAATGGCCGTTTAATAAAATAAAATAAGTGTGAACAAGATTATTTTTAATGTATAAAATAATAAAATACAATATTGTATAATTAATAAATTATTCCCATTTATGGTAAATATATTTGTTGTCTATAGACAACAAATAATTCACAAAAAATTAAATTTTAAAGTAAGAAAATGATAAACTTTTAAAGTTTAAGACACCGAACTGTGTTAAACATACAATAGCAGTTTTTAAATAAAAAAAATATGCACCTTTTAACCCAATATTTTATTCATTGGGCATCATAAGCCGATTTTGCAGACTAGCAGCTAGGGTTGGGAAAATTTCACTTTTTGCTTGTACTTGAAATTTCACTTGAAATTTTCATGACATTTATAAAATTTATTAAAATTTCCTAAATTTTTGAAATTTCATGAAATAAATTTCAATCACTTTAAGTGTAATATATTATATATATTGAAATAAGCCCACTCGGGAACCATGGCAAATTGCCTCCCTTACCTCCTACCCCTGTGGGCCCCTGACCACCAATAATATAAATAGTAAATACCTATGTTTACCACAAATTTCTTAAGATTTCCTTTTAAAATTACTAAAACTAAGAGAGATATAGCACTTTTTGGTAAGCTAACGAAATTGTGACACTTTCATTGTTTTATATTTATATATATATTTATTATTTTTATATATTTCACTAAAATTTTACGAAAATTGAAGAAACTTTATCCCAAAGGCATTTTTCATCCGATGCAATTATAGCAAAAGTAAAAGTTTAAATTAATCATGTCTTTTAAAAAATTTCTGATTTAATTTACAACTTAAATTGGTAACTGAATTAAATTATTTAAATTAATTTATACATATAAGTAACAATAATTACTTATAGTGTATTCAAATCCAAGCCGAACTAAACAAAATCGTTCAGACGCTTGATAACTCGTTCTTATTGGTCGATTCGAAATCTATTGTAAATTATTATTAAAGGTCCCAGGGGAGGCCGCATGTGAAATTTATGCGAAATTTTTAGTTAATTGCGAAACTTTCAATGAAACTTCTGAAAGTTTCACAGGCAATGTTGAAATTTTCGGATTGAAAATTTCATTTGAAATTTTTAAAAATTTCAACTGTCCCAACGCTACTAGCAGCCCGTACAAGTTGGCAGGCAAACAAAATCCTATTCTGCCAAGTTGTTTATTTCTACTTTAAAAAATTTAATTTATATACATATACATATATATATATATATATATATATATATATATATATATACCCTATTTAAAAAATTAAAATGGTCCCATTTTGAGAAAAAAGTAAAAATATTTTGTACCTATATCAATTTTTCTGATCCAAAAATTTTGTTTCGCTTTTGAAACCACCTCTATCTTAAAGCACAAAAGTCATTTATATTTTTTTTATTAACCAAAAGACTTTCACAAAAGAAGAACAAATTTCAACCCGTCATGACGCGTCTTTTCCACTGCCCTTTTGCTTAATAAAGTAGTCCGATAGGACAATGATTTAGCAAAGTTTCATCAAAATCGGAAACAACTTAAGTTTTTAGTGGGAACACTTGACGTGTTTTGCCCCATATACAAATAAAGCAGTTGTTATATCCCAATTAGGATTTTATTAAAAGCTTTCCTTGCTGTCAGATTGTAACTGTTTGTATGAATTTAACCCTTGCAAGGGTTGCTAAAAATACTTGCCAAAGCCCGCGACCACTTTGTAAGGTAATAGATCACTTAGATGTTGGGTGCTGTTGCCTCCAGTGCATTTCTTGTCTGTTTCTGAAATGGTTGCTGCTAATTAGACTTCAAAGAAAACGGTTTAGTAGCTGGGAAACTTTGCTTGATAAAAAAGAAATTTAATAATATTTGTACATTTTTATTGTTTTAGTTAACAAACTTTATTTTGTTAACTAATTTATTAATTTTATTTTTTTAATAATATTGCATAATAAAAGTTAAAAAGTTTATTTTTATGTCCGGAAGTTTTTCTTTTAACGAGACTTTTGGAAAATGTATTTTTTTTACTCCCACCTTTAAAACGCCCATTACCGTACATGTTTTCATGACACTAAGTGGTCTTTTAAACACAAATTGACGACCTATACTGCCATACTATGGAGAAAAGCAGTAACTGCTAAACAAGAAATTTGTGGAAAATTAGCATAAACTACATTTTTATAAAAAGCAGTAGGTATTTAATTTATTTTTTTAACTTATGAGATATTTGACTGCATTTCTGTGTTGAATTCGGTTACAAAATGTCCATAGCTTTAGCATAGCACAAGAAAACGCATCTTGCATTTTTTTGCAGTTACTGCCTTTCTCCATAGTAGGACAGTATAGCTTTTAGTCACGGGCTGAAGTTACCTTTAAGTTGGTCATACAATCGTAAAAATAAAGTACCCTTCTTGTGAAATAATACTAAATGTAAAATTATTGTAGTATCTCAATTCAATACAGAAGTATTAAATAGTTTGTCAACGCCAATATTTAAAAAGTTTATATTTACCTTTTGATTTTTTTAAGACACTCATTTAATAAAACACTAGCTCGTAAGCTTGCATGTGCCTAATTTAAATTCGTGACGTTTACCAAACGCCAGATTTAGAATTTTTATAAAAACTATTTATCTCCACGCGGTCTATAATTTAAACTTTATTGTTGTCAACATTCGATAAAGAAATACCTTGTTATGGCCTAGGCCGATAAAAATTTTTATGAGGCAAGTAATTAGTTCGATTTTTTCTCGCTAGGGGTATTGTTTTGACAAATTAATCCTTTTCTAAGAAATTAACGTACTAAACTGGTTTAATTTATTTATAATAAGCACTAATTTGTTTGTTTTACTGTTATAACATTTTAATGTTTAATATTTTTCATTAAATTATTGTAAAATTAAATATGAATAATAAGACAAAAAGTGAGGTTAGGACATTGCAATTTGACGTTTCACAGTTGTGTTTTCTTTTTCTACGATTTAAATTATCTTTAAATTTTAATTTGCTTTAAGTTTTCAGTAAAATTAAATGTTAAACACAGCGTAAACATTCCAAACTACCTATTTTTTTAATAAAAATGCAAACAAATTGAAATTAGATACCTATTTATTAAACAATTAATTGAATTCAATGTAATAGCAAGAGGGTAAGTAAACCATTTTCTTACAAAAATCCATTTCTACTTAAATCATGTAGTTAGGTATTGTCAAACTATTACTGCTTCTAAAAGGAATAATAATTATTGTACATTTAATGTAATCTTTAGCTAATAAATAAATGAGATTAAAAAAAGTGAGGTTAGGGCGCTTTCATGTTGAATTAAATTGACCTATATAAAGTGCTTTGAAGATAAAATGTTGTATGCCATTCGGCCAAGAAGTGTCTTTTTGTGCTTCGCTCAATTGTAGGCCTCCGCTACGCGTCGGCCTTCAAACTTTGAGCTTAGCACAAAAAGCCTTACTTCTTAACCTAATGACATAAATAACTATTATATAAACAAATAAGCAGCAAGGAACAATTAACAAATAAAAAATATACCAGGTGTTTCAATCAGGTTAGCACGTATCTTTTCAAAGTTTAATTTTAATTTTATTGTAGGTATCGGAAAACGGGTAAAAAACAATGATTCCCCGCTCTTGGTTTATAGAAAAAATAATAAAAAAAATCCATTTAAAATATCTTAAGCAATTTAGAGTTAAAATATTTACTTTAAGCACTTTGTGTTTTGTTTTGGTGTTGAGAAATATTTCTAATATTTGTATAAAAGTAAAGACTTGTTTCAAACCTAATTTCAGGTTTTAATAATAATTAAATAATTGCCGAATTATAATTTATATTCCAATTTAGGGATTTATTAGTTAGTTTTCAACGAAAATAATACATCATGGAATTACAAGATATTTTACTAATAACCTGCATTATTGTTGTTAAAGTGTATAACAATTGCACAATGACTGCTAATGGTTCCCCTGAAAAATAATATAAATGGTAATTGGCATATCGTATTGTAAAAAAAACCTCATCTATTTAAGTATCGTAATAAAATATTATATATAATTTTATCTATTTTGCGTTCATAATGACTTCTTTGTTACACCGCTTTCGGTGCTGTAATAAGGTACTTTACCCCACCCAAAATTTTGATTTTACTTTAAACAGCATCCTAGTAAAATAATATTTTGCATATTGGTTATAATATTTTTATGATTTTTCTAGTAAGTACTTACGAAACTTAAATAAACTATAACTGAAGTAAATATTAAATTTTAATAAATGTATATAGTTTTGTTGTCAAATATTCTGCTAAACAAAAAAGCATTTTACTTTTCTTTTGAAAGGTATATAAATAATCCTTTAAAAGCTTTGTACTCTTTGGACACCCTACAATTGAACAAAAGTAAACTTAAAACAAAAGGGGGTATTTCAAAAGGTTACTGCGTACGCACGCAATTTTATGGTTAATACAATAAACTCGTAGAAAATTACTTTTTCCTGGAAAACATTTTTTTTATTTTTATATATTTTTTTGCTGCGCCATTAATGGTTCTTTATTTGTTTCAGCGATGAAAGGAGAAATAATAAACTGCTCCACTCACAAGGACATTTATTTTTTGGAGACCAACACGAAAAATGAGGTAACTAACAATTCCTTTGACTAATTGCTTCTGTTAGCAGTTTTAGTTTCTTTCTGGTCGCTTTGCCTCCGCGTTTTGTTTGAGTGGGCCACAGAACATGGTGTGTGGAGTGGGCAGTCTCGTTTGTAAAGAATTGTCAGCCTAATTACGCCGATGATGCGATTAATTGGAAGAAAATGTTGGCTAAGTTTCTAATGTATTCCTTTTTCTAGGGCATTTAATCAAAATCAATATTAGTCCATTAACTTATTATTTATTTCGTTTTAAACGAACTTTTTTACTTCCACAGTAAAATATTGATGTTTATTTCAAGAAATAATTACTTTATATGTAGTTTCAGACCCTAATCTTACTCTACGTTCTTTTATTTTGATTTAAAAATTTTTCTTTTGAAATAACATTGGAAATTTAGGATTTTTTTTAATTTCCCATAACTCATCAGCATTTAACGCTTCTGCAAAATTTACATCTACACACCTATATGTACTTCACCGAAGGATCATTCCACCTTAGATCAAACAGTAAAGTTCACCACACCTCAAATTTTGTGTAGATGATATATAGGCTAGGTTATCAAAAGTAGTTAGTTTTGAAGATAATAAAATAAAAAAAATTAAACAATTTTTAACATCTTCAAAACTATTACCCCCAATCGAAATACCCGAACTCAAGGGTATTGTGTTAATTTCTTCTGATGTTGTGATAGTAGCTTCGGTTGTAACCGATATTGTGTTACTTGATGGTTCCATTTGTTCCTCCCCATTAACATTCTATATACTTTTTTCTTCTTCTCAATGGATTCCTTCATATATGACCCTGCCATGATCTGCAATAGTAGTAGTAGTAGCGGTAGTTTAAGAAATTCAGCAACTATAGAGGGCATTTTCACAAAAGAATCGTTCGATAGGAAATGTTTAACATTGGATGGTCGCAGTTGAACAAATACCACGTGAAACACTCTCTTGATGTTGGACATCAGACAAAAACCGTTGCTTTGGTGCAAGACTAACCCAAGTCCATTTTCAAAGAATTGGAGAAAAACACTATTAAACATTTCTATTTATTGTAACTAAATTGTTTTTTGCGTCATTCTATTAAAAATTGGAAGGTTTTAAAAAAACAATTTAGTTACAATAAATTGAAATGTTTAATAGTGTTTTTCTCCAATTCTTTGAAAATGGACTTGAGATAGTCTTGCACCAAACCAGCGAAACTATTGCCATTGTATGCTTCTTTTTGACGTCAAATTGATAGGTGCCTATTTAAGGAGTGCCAATAGGGCAGTCTTAACTTAATAATACTAATTATCAAATTAAATTTTTGGTTTTCATTTATTTTTATTTATAAATTTACATTTTTTAATTAAATTAGATGTTCGAAATGCCCCTTGTAAACTTTTTTTGTGAATTATTCGCACATTCGCGTATAATTATATCATCAATTGATTCCAGTTTGGTGATGGAGACCTTCGATTTTAAATAACCCCATAAAAATCAAGTGCCTTTAAATCAGGAGACCTAGCCGGCTATTGGGTATGAGCCACTGTCTTACATCCCTGAAATAATGTGCAGGTGCCCCATCTTCTTGGAATATTACTTTCATGTAAAATTTTGTAAGGATTAGCTTAAACCATATCTTGAATCATTGGATGAATTTGGGTTTGAAGCATGTTTAAATACAATATGCTTGTTTAATATCCTTTCAAGAAGATGGGTCCTACAATATGATTTTCCAGTTGTCCCGCCCATACATTGATTTTTGGTGGGTACTGAGTATGACCTTCACGAAAAACATGTTGGGTTAACATCTGATCAGTAACGTACATTTTGCATATTAATAGTGCCATTTAGGAAAAAAGTGCATTCATCACTAAAACATGTTTATTGAAAGTACAGGGGATTTTGTATTATGCGTTCACACATTACTTCACAAAATTGTACTCTGCGATCAGGGTCATCTTTAGTAAGTTGATGTAATATTTTTAATTTATATAGATAGAACAGTTTATTTTGATATATCATAATCCCCTGCAACTACCGCCGTTGATTGTTGTGTATTGACGACTAAACCAACTATTTCAATTTGTTTGTCTTCTGATATTGATTTTCTACCCTATCCCTTGTGCTTACTCACACCTGTTGTTTGAAATTTAGTCACCAACTCCCGTAGATATTTTCTGCAAATTGGGTTGTCTGGGTACCTGTCATTAAATACCCTCTCTGCTTGGTGCAACGAAATAAAAAGTAAAATTGCAGGCACAACTAATAAATAGTATTACACTAAAGAGTACAATAATTAATATTTTATAAGCCCCCTTAAAACTACACTGGTACTATGCTCCACACCTCAAAGTCCCACCACGTGACCACGTATGGAACGCAGTCTTTTGAAAATTTGGCATTTAAGGCTTTTCAGGTTATGTATCTGTCAAAATATAGTCAATGAAAGAAATAATATTTATAGTGTTGATGCTTATGTTTAAGCGTTAAAAGTTAATAAATCTTTATAGTATCACAATAACAATGGTTGGTTTAAGAATTTAGGAATATAAATACTGCATTTAATGAAATTCCAAAGTGTAAGGTGCAATATAAGTGATATTTTTGTACATTGAGTCTACATTTCTCCATAAAATAGTTTTAACTAAACAGGATTTATTAAAAAAAATCTAACTTATCTATTATGAAATAAGAATATCTGTATCAAAGGTAGGTTAATGTATTAGAACAAAAAATATCATCTAATTTTGTATTTTAAGGTTAGAAAAATCTATTTTGACCAAAATAAATTAGTGGATTATTTGGAAGAGTGTGTTAATATGGTCATAAATAAATATAGGTATACTAAATAATTGTTGAATATGGTTCAAATTAAATTGAAGCTTTTATACTTCTAATGACAAAACTTGTGCATACCTCTCGGCATACCTACATAAAGTTAGATTTTAAGAAAACAAACAATTTTTAGAGAAACTTGCAATGTAAAAATATTGTATACTCCCATGACATGTGATTTATTAAAATATTAAAGTTATAATGATTTTTCGATGTAGATCAAACTCAGTCGAAGCTTTTTGTATTGACAAAACTTTATGTTGGTACACTTTAAGCTGGATAAGAAAAACTACCACATTTTCAAATACCATATTTTACTGTCTTTTAAATAATCCAAAATACTTATTTATTTTGGTCAAAATAAATTTTTCTAACCTTAAAATTACAAAATTAGATGATATTTTTGTTATAATATATTATCCTACCTTTAATACAGATACTCTTATTCCATAATAGAGAAGCTAGATTTTTTTTAATAAATGCTGTTTAGTTAAAATTATTTTATGGAGAAAACCAGATATTTGAACCAAATGCACAAAAATATTACTTATTTGGCACCATACACTTTAGAGTTTCATTAAATGCAGTATTCTTAAATTCTTAAACCATCCATTTTTATTGTAATGTTATAAAGTTTTATACATTTTTAACGCCTAAACATATTATTTCTTTTGTTGACTATACTTTGACAGATACATAACCTGAAAAGCCTTAAATGCGTAATTTTTAAAAGACTGCGTTCCGTACGTGGTCACGTGGTGGGACTTTGAGGTGTGGAGCATAGTACGTTTTATTACAAACCAATAAAAAATTGAATATTTAACAATAAATATTTTATTTTTATTTCTTAAATTAAATAAAGGGTTTTTCATAAAGAGAGAAGCATTTTGTTTTTTCAATTAAAAGACTTTTGGGTTAGTTATGGAAATGATTTTTATTTCAAATGAAAATACAATCGATGCCATTATTTATGGATTAAGACATCGTTTAAATGTCCGCCGCGGAAGCCAATTTTTCATGACTAGACGACACAAAACAGCCGAAATACCAGAAATTTCGGGTTCAATGTTGGCCTGCAGCTCTTCTAACGTTACTGGCTTGTTGGAAAAGACCAGCGAAAGAAAAAAAGTCTAAAGGGGTTAAATTGGAGGAACAAGGCGACCGAAAATTGGCGTAAGCTCAAGCAACGTAGTCGCGATAGAACGTGAACTTTGATAAAAAATTTGAATAATTTGCAAAAGTTGTTAAAGCGTGTATCTCTCCAGGAATAAATGGCATCGACTGACGTTTCAAAATGACAAAGAATTGCTAAGTCAACTACACTCCTATTCGAGAAATGTCAAAAACAAAATGCTTGGTCCTATTAAAAAACCCTATAACATTTAATTCTATTACAAATATAATATATTTTAATATAAAATTTAATGTCAAAATTTATTTTTCAGAGCACGGATTTATCCAATTTATTTGCTTCGCCGGCAGGAAAGGAAATGTTAAAGTACAAACCAAGACCGAAACATAAACAGAAACTGAACCCCGCCTTAGAAGTAAGTGACTTTTATTTAGTTTTTACGGAATTGAATCGCATTATTTCAACCTTAACTGTCGCATCTACAGACATTTCCGTTTGAGTGCTGCTGCACATTTTCTCATTATTAATTTAAGAAGGTATATAATAAATAATGAGAAATTGGGAAAATTTACAATTGGTTTTTAATTTTTTATTTAATTGTTTTTTTAAGCTTTTTTCAGAATTACACAGTAAAAAAAAATCAACACTAATTAGAGTTCACACAGGTCCACACTAAATAGTGTTGTTTTATAACACTACAATTAGAGTGAATTTGTAGTGTAATTTTCCCCAAGTAAGCAAGTATGATTTTACACTATAGCACTGAGGATAAAGTAATTTTACACTGTATTAAAAAGTGTTAATTTACCTAAAATCGTGTACTTCTACACTTCCTGGGTAAAATCCCACTTTTGTTCAGTGTAAATTAACTGTTTTGTTGGCTATAAAAAGTTATGTTATAATATAAAGAAATAAATAAATAAATAAACATAATTTTACTCTTTTAGTGAAAACTTCTAGTGTAAATTAACACTATTATTTGAGTAAAACCTATTGGTGGTAGTGAATAAAACGAAAAGGTAAATAAAGAGAAACATTTATTTGGAACAAAAATCTATGACAATATAATATAGGTCGGGTATGGACATCCTTTTAACATATTGGTATTTATTGAGTATTAAGGCTTAAAGAAAAAGGAAGTATAATACTTACTAAAAAATAAGAATGTCCTCTTATGGATTCACCGTAATTAAAATCTAACTGAACAAAAATGCCACACTTCCACAACGCGGTATCTCCGGATAAAACGTAGGTAGATAGGTACCAACCAAACATTTTAAAACGCATTTCGGTTATTACCAGTTTTTTCAGTCTATTTTGCCACTCTTGGTGTAATATACCTTTAATAATGATAAAATGTGCACTAGTAGTGTACATTTTGTCACTATTTAACACATTAAGGGGTAATAAACACTCGCATTAAGTTTTTCTACCCTTTTGATTTATTTTAATAATAAATAGTGTGAATGTACCAATGAATAATGTTCATATTCTTTAAATGTTTTTAATAATAATAATAATAATAATTTATTGCCCAACAGAATACAGAAAATTCCAATTACAGGACAAATTAAATGAGTAACACTTAATAAAAATGCCTAATAAAAAAAAATATAATAAAATATGAGAGAACAAAAAAAAATAAAAATAAAAAAACTACTTAATAACTACTAACAAAAAAATAAAGAAGCTATGGCGATAATCTTGCTAATGCTATCACAAAATAAATCACAATTATTGCAAATTAAATTAAAGTTGTTACACATTATATAAATGGGAGACTTAATTAGTACGTTGGTTCTAGCATTATGACAATAAAACACGTTGTTAGATCGAGATTCTAGTCTGGGTACTAAAAAGTTTAATGGAGCCAGGATATTGGGAGAGTCAATTTTGCCATGTAACAACTTGTACAAAAGCTTAATGCTAAAAATGAAAGTTAATAAGCACTAAATGCTACCTAGTGTATTTGTAGTGTAACTTTTACCCTTACAAATCCACTCTAATATTTTTACCCCTACACTAAAAAATTTACACGGCAAAATTTTTTACTGTGTAATCAATACAAATTTTATCAATTTTCCATTTTGGTATTGTCATAAATAGGAGTGATTTATCAAAGAAAAAAACTGACCCCTTATTATTAGTTTTCACAAAATTTCGACCTTAACAGTAGCATCTGAATACGGCATTTCAAGGATCCATTCCAAACTGCTGTTGCACATTTTCGTGATACACTGCTCAACAACACGCCGTTATAACGCGTTACGGCGATTAGAAGCAGTTCAAGTTGAGCAATTAGTGCGTTGGATACGTAAAGGTTTACCTCAAGAAGAAGTAGCTACAAGGTTGAATGTCCACCAAAGTGTCGTACACAGAGAAAAAGCTTTTATATTGTGAATGGATTAACCATTGACCCAATGGTATACTGTATTTGCAATACCTGAATTACAGCTATGATCAAATGAATGATTGTCTTACTTTTATTTGTGCAAACCTGCTTATAATTAGTTCAAACATAAGAAGTCATTGAATTAAATTGTGATTCTATTAAATCCGTATTAAAACTTGGTTAGTTTAAACATAAGAAATTATTGAATTAAATTGTTATTTAATTGAAGCCACAATGAATCTTAATGAAAAACTATCATTGGCATAAATAAAGTTATGATTTCTAATGAATGGCTACATTAAATGCAATAAAGCTCTATTTCCTTTAAATATGTATATTCTTGTGCAAATATTAGTTGTATAATACATTAATATGAACTTTAAATAAAAAACTGCTTCTGGTAGTCTTGTGTACACAGGATTTTCGATCCATAAAATGAAATTGTTCTGTTTTCTGTAGGAACTATTAGGAACCCACTAGAAGTGTTGGTGATATTAGGCTCTAAGAAAGTTGCTGACCCATCACTAGCAACAGTTACTGTACTGGATGTGCAAGATCTGTCTGCCATGGCACATGGTTATTCTAAAACGAAATAGGAATTTCATCTTATGTATTTAGAGGCAAATCCTAAAGATTGCTGAAAGTCCTGAAGCAATATATACTTTCAGGACGCTCTGCAAGGATATCATGATGGTACTAAAAGACTATGAGAAGTTCACATTTCCATTAGGTTTAAATCTAAAAAGCCATTTACTCTATAACAAGTAATTTTAACTTGATAATATTTTGTTATGGGCTGAATATAATATTTGTAATAACTTACCTTACCCTCAATTGCTCTAAACATATTTGATTGAATAAACTTTAAAAACTTTTATTGGAGGAATGAAAAAACAATCAATTATTGCATTGTTATTGACTATATCAAAGCGTTTTTTCTGTGTAAGTCGAGCATGGAGTTTGTATGTAGCAACTTGGTCTCCAGCATACACGTATGAGGGAGGAAGTGAACAATCCACAACTCATGCTCAGGACCGTTTAATTGTCCTGACTGTCAGAAGATACTGAACATTGAAGGCTTCAAGAACTAACAGTTTCTTCAGGCAAGCTGTTGGAAAAGTGATTTCTTCTTAAAGTGTCAGAAGAAGGTTCAATGCATCTAACTTAAGAGCAAGAAGACATTTCATTTCATTTATTTTGGTCATTCAAGCTACATATATACAATATCACAGGTCAAGAAAATAGATATAAAAAGTTTAATAACATGGCTATAGCTATATCTAGATATATAAATAATAAATAGTACATACATAGACGAGAGACAAATAAGAAATGGTTATAAAATTAGGCGTGGCCTAAAGCTTTATTTAAAAAAATCTGTAATTTCATAAACACATTTTTTAAGCACGAAACTTTTAAGTGATGTTTAAAATAAATTGTTATTTGGTTGCTAATTAATATTTTTAGGAAGATTATTATATATTTTTAATCCTGTGTAAAAGGGGGATTTTTATATAGAGGCAAAACATGTTTCGGTGTACGAAACAAGTCTGATTTACGAGTATTATAACCATGTTCAATATTTTTGTTATAAAATGTTTTTAGATTTTTACTGTAATACCACGCTTCTCCAGAATAAATACTCTGTTGATTTCTGTTCCTCATCCCCACATAACTATGTTATAGGATAAGTGGGGTACACAACTGTCGTGGTAAATTGTTACTTAAAGTATGTAGAGCAAAACAAGTGCTGTTTAATTTACCAAATATATGTTTAATATGGTCTCCCCATGGAAGATGGGAGTCCAGTATCGTTCGGAATTTAACTTTATTTACAAAGTTTAGATTAAGGATATTTTGCTCATTTTGACTTAATATTTTTCTAGGTGATGTATTCCGTTTTTTCAATGTTTACCATAAGTAGATTTTTAAAACCAGTTGAAGCTGCTTATGACTTTCCCCAATTGTTTGAGTTTTAGAAGGTCTTTTTCTGATACCATAATATACGTATCGTCAGTGCACATGGTTACCGTTGACACATTGCGGCAATTCGATTATATATACGAGGTGTGTTCAGAAAATATCGGAAATTTTCGTTTTTTGAAAAAAATATTTATTTATTTGTCTTCATTAATGTTGTCGCCTTTAAAATAGTCCCCATTGGATATTATGCACATGTGCCAGCTCTTCTTCCAATACTCGAAACACTTCTAAAACTCGATCTTTGAGATAGCCTTTAGTTCTTTCAGCGATGCGCTTTGTCATCCATGCTTGCAAAACGACGGCCCTTTAAGGTTCTCTTTATTTTTGGGAATAGGAAAAAAGTCAGACAGAGGCATGTCTGGCGAATATGGAGGCTGAGGCATCATTACAGTATTGTTTTTGGCCAAAAATTTTGTTCAAAATTTAACAATTTTGGAACAAATTTAGCTGCCACGCGTTTCATACCCAAAACATTTGAAAAAATTTCATGGGATGAGCCAATCGATATACCAACATCATCAGCGACTTCTCTGATGGTTTATAACCATTTCTTCCACTTTTTCCATGTTTTTATCGGTTGTTAATGTGCTTGTGCGTTCGGGGCGTTCCTCATCTTCAACGTCTTCACGGCCATCTTGGAAACTCTTATACCACTTGTAAACTCTTGTTTTACTTATAGCAGACTCACTATAGGCCTTTGTTAACATTTCACAGAATTTATTTTATTTTTTAAGCAATATTAAAATTTTATGACAACCGGACCCTCTGAAGCCGCGAAATTTAACAATTCCCGTTATTTTCTGAACACACCTCGTAATGAAAAGAGTAAAGGTCCCAGCACCGATCCCCGGGGAACTCCTATATCACTAGGATATTCCTTGGATTTATTACTGTAAAGTTAACATACAAGGATCAAATATGAGTAAAGCCATTGGGATGATATTCCTCTAAAACTCAACTTATAACTTAATTAGTAGGAAAGATATGTCGATGGAAGCTACACATCCACCGTTAACACCGGGGCAACGTACATGCATCAA